TTGTAGTATAGTTGCTGCATAGTATGCTAGTTAGGATGAAACCTTGGAATATTGAATATTTGCATGTATAATAGAGAAAACATAGATCCAAGGTTTATAGGGTTGCATGTACACCATAGGAGTGTTAGAATACTCAAAACCGATCAGATAGTTGGTTATGGCACAGAAGGATTTTTCATCTGAATTTCAAGGATATTAACAAGCTCGTAATTGGTGATCTCGTATGCGGATTTCGTCTTCTAAAATTTGAGAAGGAACACTTATGTGCGGCATGTGAACTCAAAAAACAAAAGCAAAAAGAGTCGTTCATCCATCATAAATACCAAAATCATTGAGCTACTAGAATTATTGCATATTGATCTTTGTGGTCCTTCAGCCATTAAAAGTATTGGTGGTAACAAATATATTTTGGTTATTGTTGATGATTTTTCTAGATTTACCTGGTTATTCTTTCTTTGATAGAAATCCGACGCAAGTCAAAAGCTCATAGATTTCATCAAGCAGGTTGAGCTACAATTACGAAAGCCAGTTCGGAAAATTCGAAGTGATAACAGTTCAGAACTCAAAAATCATGCACTTGAATAAGTCTTGACCAACAAAGGGATTGTTCAAAACTTCTCTTTGCCTTACACTCCATAGCAGAACGGTGTAGTTGAAAGAAAAAATCGTTCTCTTTATGAAGCTTCAAGGACAATGCTAATGCTTTTTGAATCTTCCCCTGTATTTTTGGGCTGACGCTGTGGCAACCACTTGTTTTACTCAAAACTGATTTTACATTATCAAAAGATTTCTGATTACTCTATATGAAATTCTGAACAATATGAAACCTAACATTAAATTCTTTCATGTGTTTGGATCCAGGTGCTGTTTATGTAATTCTAAAGAAAACCAGAACAAATTTGCTAAAAAAGATGATTAAGGAATCTTTCTGGGGTATTCATTAACTTCAAAGGCATATCGTGTTCTGACCAAAATATTAAAGAAAATTGAAGAGAGCTACTACATTACGTTTGATGACAATTACATGAAGAAATATCAAAAAAAAAATGTCAACCTGAGGAAAATTTTCCATCAACAAAATCTAAGACTATTCCTCTTATGAATTTATATGAGGATTTTATAAATTTATTTGATGAACCTGACAAGGCAATTTCCTCATAATCAAATGCCAAGGATAATCAAGAGGACGAATTAATCAAGATTGCTGATGAAGCTGTTGAATATATAAAGATTCCTCCTAAGCCACCAATTCTGAATGTACCTCAGCCAGAACCTTTTTATGCTCCAATCCACGGGAGAGTTCCACGCCAAACTTTAATACCAATGCTCCACTCCAAGGGGGAATTAAATTCTGAAACCTAGGTCACATGAAAACTTCCAGGGGGAGAATAATGAAAATTATTACTCGAATGCACAATCGGAATTTGGAGAAGTTTTTGTTGAAATCGATCCATCCTATGATTAGAACTATTCGCCAATGAAAAAATGGACCAAAGATCATCCTCCATCTCAAGTGATTGGAGATCCTTCCCCAGGAGTTCTTACACGTGCTCAATAAAAGTGAAGCAAACTACATTATTTTTTAAATTGGAATTTTGCATGTTTAATTCTTTTATTTCAAAAATTGAGCCTAAAACTGTTAAAGTTGCTCTTGATCATGCAGATTGGGTTCAAGCTTTGCATGAAGAACTGAATGAGTTTGAGCGTAAAAAAGTGTGGTGATTGGTTCCTACTCCTAATGATCCATCCGTGGTTGGATGAAATGGGTATTTAGAAATAATGTGGATAAAGAAAGAAATGTCATTCACAATAAGGCACGATTAGTCGTCAAAGGCTATTGTCAAGAAGAAGGGATCAATTACGAAGAGTTGTTCACACCTATGGCTAGACTGGAATCAGTTCTCATTTTTCTCGCCTATATTGCTCATAAAAACTTTGATGTATATCAAATGGATGTGAACTACGCATTTCTGAATGGAGAACTTGAAGAAACAGTCTATGTTGAACAACCTCCAAGTTTTGTGAATGAAAATTTTCCGAATCATTTTTACATATGGATAAAGTTGTGTATGGTCTTAAACAAGCTCTGAGGGTATAGTATGAAACTCTGACTCGTTTTTTTAAACAGTGTACATTTAAACAAGGTTCTGTTGATCCTAGCTTCTTTTGGAAGAAGGATGGTAACCATTTAATGATAGTTCAAATTTATGTTGATGACATTATTTTCAGATCAACTATTCCCAACTTAACTGTTGAATTTCGAATATTAATGGAAACAAAATTTGAAATGAGTTTTATGGGTAAAGTTAACATTTTCCCTGGTTTAAACATAAGACAGAGTTCAAAATGAATATTAATCAATCAAGAAGCCCTCACAAAGACATTATTGGCCAAATTTAAAATGGTGGGTGATTCAAAATTCAAATTCCCAATGGCGTTCAGAACGAAACTCACACATTCTCTTGATAAACCAACAACATATATTACCTTATATTGTCAGATGATCGGATCCTTGTTGTATCTAACATCTAGTCATCCTGACATTATGTTTGATGTTTGTTACCGTGCCAGGTTTCAAGTAAATCGTAGAGAACCGCACATGTTTGAATTTAAGAACACATTCCAGGATCTGAAGCGAACCACTTCTCTTGGTCTATGGTATCCATCGAATTCGGGATTCTTTGTGCAAGCTTACTCCGATGTTGACTTAGGGGTTTGTGGTCTTGATCGGACAAGTACATCCAATGGACGTCAGTTTCTAGATAACAATCTTGTTAGTTGGTAATCTAAGAAGCAGACATGTATATCCTTATCTATAGTTGAAATAGAATACATTGCAGCAACATCATGTACTTCACACGTGGTGTGGATTCCGAACCAGCTACGAGATTATGGAATCAATATGAAACGAATTCCTCTATATTATCATTCCGAAAGTGCAATAAGAATTTTTCACAATCTAGTGCAGCACTCAAAGACAAAGCATTTAGCAATGAGATACCACTGCATAAAGGATCATGTCGAGGATGGAAATGTAGAAGTTCATTTTGTTAGATCCTCAGATCAGTTAGCTGATAATTTACAAATGCCTTATCTGAAGCATTATTTAATCGAATTCTATAATGGTTGGGAATGATTGAAGCCGACTTAGTTCCAAAATCCACTTTGTAATCATCACAGTTTTGAAGTTAGTAGTCACATTTTGAATGCTTTCGAGCTTCGAAATGGTTCAAAATTCATTGTTCACTTCCGACTTGCTTTGATCTTCAGAATGGTTCTGAAGTTACTGTTTATTAGGATTCCAAAACCTTTTATCCTTGTAAGTCTTTTGTTATTTTCATTACTTTTGTATATTCATTTATTCTCATTCTGAAGTTACTGTTTATTTTCATTCTTTTAAGAAAAACAAAATACCAAATTTTTTTTATTTGTTTATGTATTTTCTTTTCAAAAATTCAAAATTCTCAATTTTTTTTTGTGTTCTGAAAAATTAAAAACACCAAAGTACTTTTTCTTTCTAAGATTTGATGGTAAATTCACAAGTGAAATTTAGTCTGCAACAAGGAATTGACGGTCGACTTTAGCATTTCTTTCTACCATATCTTATCTAAACCTCCACGTAGTCCCTTGATTATTGGAGAAAAAAACTAGTTTCGGTATAGGGCTACAAAACTCTTGTTAATGATCACAAAATCATTGTTAACATGACTTTCGTGAAACTCCCAACCATTCGTCTCCCAAATCTATTATTCTACATTGTAACCCTTAAGACTCTAAGCTTTTACCACTGAGTTTTAGGTTACAAACATCTGTGTTTATGATCTTAAAATCAGTATCACCATGATTTTGAGTGAAACTTGAAACTACGAATACCTTTTTTGAATTGATGGTGAAAAATTTTTGTTCTAGATATTAACCTAACGAATTGATGGTGAACAAACGTTTGTTCTAGTTATTTTACAAGCTGAATTGACGGATAAAACCATTTAGTTCATACATTTACAAATTCGAAATCTCATTATTTTTTTGTGTGGTCTTAATGAAATGTTCTCGACCCAAGTCAATTCTTCTCAAAAGATCCAGATTTAAATTTTTTGTTCAGATTTACATTATATTCAGTCACTTTAAAAGAATATACAAAGCTTATTTCTTTTTATGGCTACACTGGTCAAACAAGTACTTCTTTCAGATCTTCGGTCTTATGTTAAGTTTTGGAATTTGTTTGAAGATGAAGCCACCAGTTAAGCCTAATAAAATAAGCCTTTCACAGTTTCTTAACAAACTGATGATCGTAATTCAACAGTAAACCACACAAGCACTTTAGAGTCTCTCTTGACTCAGAAGGAAAAGATCGTTGCCCGAGATCGTCTAGCTTTTCATATAAAAAATGTTTGATATCACAGAACCCCACATATTTTTTTTGCTTTTTTTCTTTTTTGTTGGTACACTCTTACACTAAAATCCTTGTGATTTTACCAAGTGTGGTTTCTATTCCGAATGAATATTTATAGAGATGAAAGTTAGAACGACAACTTTGAAAAGGCTAGTTCTGAAAATGGTGAATCCGAAAAATCTATTTCATGATTTTTGGATAACTTCAAATCTTGGCACAATTTTTGAATTTCCCTGACTCCGCTTGCTTGTTGTAACGGTTTCTGACAGTCATTGATAAGCTGGCATGATTTTATTGGCTAATTTTTCAGCATATAGGAATGTGAAACGATAGTTTCTCTCTCCATTTATCATATTTCATATAAAAGGCTACCAAATAGTTCATTTGCCTTCACCGCAAATAGAACTCACAGATTTCAAAGCAAAAATTGCTCATACTCTCTACTATTCGTCATCTTTCCCAAGGCATTAATGGTTGGTTCATCAGAGAATATTTCCTTCACCAATCAGTCTGCATCAGTCATCATGCTCACTATTAAGCCCTACTAGAACATGATCATTGGCTTCGATGCTTCTCGTTACAATGCCCTAATCAGGCCCATGATTGAATGTCTCAGGTTCTTGCCACTGATGAAGGCATTAACAATGGCTGAAGAAGTTCCACTTGTTCATCTTTCTAAAGCCTTCTCCACTGCTATCTACAACAAGGCTTAAGATGTTATTCACTTCAAGGTTGCCAACCACAAAACATTGATTTCAAAGCCTCGCTTCTTCAAGATCCTAGGGCTCGTTACACCAGAGGTTAGTGTCGACCCTGAATCGATTCCAACAACCTATATGATTGAAATGTTCTTCCATATTGGGTACACCGGCGACATCTCCTTGCTCTCCAAGTTCAGAAAGTTGTTTTTGCTGTCGATTTGGAATGGGTTATTTACCCTTTTGTTCAAGAGCTTATCTGAAAGGGTTACAGGATCAAATATTCCTAGTAAGCATTTATATAATTTTATCTATGGCCTCTATCATGGAATCAATTTGGACTATGGGTCTATAATATTGAAGTTAATTTATCCAAAGCACCACTTCATCTACACCAAAGATAGAAATTTCTTGTGCTTGTTTTTGGTCAGTGGTTATGAACTGAGCCCTAACTCACTTCAAGGTTCCAGTGATGAACGACCTTCTCATGGCTAAAATTTTGATACTTCAGATGACTACACTTGTTATGTCAGATCCAAGGAACTTCAAGTATGTTGGTTCTATTCCTAAGGCTATGTTGGAAAAGGTACCGCTAGATAACGCCATCATTAGGGCTTATCGGAAATTTCCTTCTTTTGGTGTTCATCCCATTCCAAAGGAATTACAAAAAAATAATATACGAGAGTGATAAACTGAAGAGGGAGGAAAAAGGAAAGCAAAGACTGCTACTTCAGAAAGTGTCAAAGTTACTAAGAGATAAAAGAAACCAGTTCAGAAACTGAGATCTCCATCTCCGGTTATTCAAGAGGAATCTGAAGAGAGAACTATCACTGAAATTTAGGAAGACAAAACTTTGAGAAATGAAGAGGAGTACACTTCTCGCACTTCCGAACCAGATCTTGTTGATCCAATTCGAAAGGTATCCACTCCTCCAATCTCTTCTGTTACATTATCTAATATTTTTCATAATATGATGGAGAATCCCTTTCTAAACCTCACTACTTCTTCACCCCAAACTCCATTTAATCCACCTGAAATAACATCCTTACCCATTACCTCCATAATTCCGATGACATCCATCCCTCCTCTACCACCAACAAGTTCTGTTGGAATTACACTTCCTTAGATCTCCATCTCACTATCCTCACCCATATATTCTGACTCAACCCTACCTACAATCTTAGTTGTCTCAACTCCACCGGAAGTCCCTATCTTCAAATCCACTTCGGAGGATCTACAAACTTTAAGCATTGCTGTCAACGTATATGATGATGAGGCAACTACCAATGTCGGTGTGACTTCCGAACCAGGGACATCAACCGATCTTCCTTTTAACGAGGATGAAGATATATTTTTTGGAGATAAACAAGAACCCATATAGGACTTCATTTTCAGCCCTTTAATCTCAACATCAACAATGATGAAGACGAAGATGACAGTTCAAGTAGTTAAACAAGAAGCTTGATTCAATTTTCGAGTATTCTCATGCCTTCTCTTCAACAAAATAGGAAAGCTTGCTCATAAATCACCAAGCAATGGTTGAAATGCTCACCTCTTCCAATGTCAAAATCATTGAAGAATCCACCAAGGCTCCCCAAGCCTCATAAAAGAAGATAACTGAAGTGAAGGGCCAACATATATGGTTTGGGCAAGGCATCCATGTTTGGATGAGTTAGGGCTTTTGTTAATGTATTTTGGAGTCTTTTGTGTATGTTTGGTGTTTTCAGTCTAGGAAGCTTTTGGTTAAGGAGTGACCGAAAACCGGTTTTCGGTCTGCTAGCCGAAATCTGTTTTTGGTCCTTGTCAATATATATAGGTATCAAGCTGTCAGGGTAGTGCAACAGTTGTACCTTGCTAAGTTCGGTCCCTAAGTTGTATCAGACGGTTTCAAGTGTTTAATCGTATGCAAGCTCAGTTTCATTCATATTCTACTCCATTTCTACTTTGTTTTCTTATGCTTGATTGATCATTGGTGAAGATCCTTCCATCTAGGACCTTACACGAAGCTATAGGAAAGGTCCTCTAATTGCAAAATGAAGTTAAGTAATTCATGGCTGACTTTAGGACCTCTTCGGACAAAAACACAGTATAAATGAACAAGGTTATCGAAGGCTTTATTTCTTCTTTCAAAGCTAAGAAAGAAGCTCTTTTAAAAATTTGTGCCGACTTTAAGCTTGATAATGTCGATCTGAACTCAACCATCACCACCAAGCTTGATAAATTACAGAATGACTTGGCAGCAGAAAATAAGATAATGGATACCTTAGCGGAGAAAACTCATAAGGCAAAGGTTTTGGATGAAAAATTGAAGAATGCTAAATCTGATGTTGTAAGGATACAAGAAGAGAAGCTCTTCATCAAGTCTCGTATTCTGAAATTTATCAACGACTGTTAAGAATCGCTGAGACCGAATCTCCTCCATTCAATGATACAATGCACCTTTCTCTCTTTGAAACTCTAAAACATGTGTTCACACAGTTGAATCATATACATGATGTTTTGGGTAGCAGTAATTCTTCAAAACAAGGGGGGACAAGGAGGTTAAGGTGAAAGAAGAATTTGATCAGAAGGGTAATGAAGCTTCTGGGTTAAGAAAAGATAAAGGCAAAGGAATTTCTAAAGACGATGCCGAAGAAAATTTGATTGAATCGGAAAGGGATGAAAGAAAGAAATAGGATAAAGAGCTTGATGAGCTCAATGCTCTCCGATAGAATTACGATCCAGAAGATCGCAAAGATAAATTTTTGGCTTTTATTTTAGAAAGTAAGAAGTTCTTGTTTCCTACTTGGACTTTGCAATTCAAAAAGAAGCCATTGATCTTCTAGAGTTATATTGGTTGGAACCGAAGATGTCTTTTAAAACCAACAATGAGGTTGAATGTTAGTTTGACTTCGCTATCACCCCATGAGCAATCCTTTTCCGATGCTTCTAGAAGGTCAAAAAGTCCCTAATCTCCAACAACGCGATTAATCGAAAACTCTTCAAATTCTATCTCAAATATGGGAAGGCTTAGTACGAGTCTTGGAGTCTAAAGAGGATCATTGGTTTGAAGGTCGTCTTACATGCACAAAGTAAATATTTTCTGAACATTCACTTCAAAGGATTTTGGGGTTGGAATCATGTGCTTCATGAATTTACTTTGGCCAATCCACCTATCATGAATTCATAATACTGGATTTCGTTATTCAACATTATTGCAAATGATGTGAATAAATAGAAGCCTGTTTTTGACCATCTGAAGAGGATTATTAAAAGTTACATTCTGGAGATTGCGAACATCGATATTCAGATTGCTTAGTTTAGAATAAAAGACCCATAATAAAGCCATTTGAAGAACCTGGGGAGATCCAACATTTTTAAGGTGGATTGTTGACAAGGAATATCGGAGCATCGTGTATAATAAGAAGGAGGATGCAGTTCTGAAAAATTGAATGTTCTTTTTAAGGAAAACACATTTGTATTCCACAAGTGTTATGAATCAAATTCTAGCAAGAGCTAAAGCGAACCAGACCAACTTAGCGTCTGATTTAAAATGCATGTCGGATACGATTCAGTGGTATTTGGCCGTCAGGGCATCCCTTCTAAAGATTATGCCTAAGTATTTTGATGCACAAAGACAACAGTGAAGACCTCTTCCGATTTGACACAAAGGGGGAGATTGTTAGGTCTAATATTGTGTTGTGTAAAATGTATGCTATTAGATTTATGTTTAGATTCTGATTCCGAAATGGGCATGTCCATGTTCAGAATCGTTGTATGTTTTAGTTTATAAATAGTGCGCATGTAACTTTTAGGGTTATGAATTTTGAAGCAAGTACAAAATAGTTCCGCCTCCAAGAACTCCGGCTGAGCCTCTTTGATTTGCGTGGACAGATGGGAATGGATTGTCATGGTTAGTGCCTTCACCCTACGACCTGAGTACTCCTTTCGACTAAGAGCACCAGCTACTACACTAGCTTTACCGGGATGATAGTGAATTTCACATTCGTAATCGCTAAGTAGTTCTACCCATCGTTATTGTCTCATCTTAAGTTTCTTCTGATCAAACATGTGTTGAAGGCTTTTGTGGTCAGTGAAGATAGTGCACTTGGTACCGTAAACGCAGTGTCTCCAGATTTTTAGTGCAAAGTCCACTGCTCCTAACTCCAGATCATGAGTAGTGTAGTTGGCTTCGTGTGCCTTAAGCTGTCTCAAGGCATAACCAATAACATTTCCTCGCTGCATAAGCAAGCAGCCTAGTCCCTGATTAGATGCATCGCAGTATACAACGAAGGCCACTATCCCTTCTGGAAGAGACAAGATAGGTACGCTACATAGGGCTTGCTTCAGTGTCTGGAACGCATTGTTTTGTTTTTCTCCCCAACTAAAGGTTACACCCTTCTGAGTTAGGGCAGTAAGAGGTTTAGCGATTTTGGAGAAATTTTGTATGAATCTGCGATAGTAGCCAGCAATACCCAAGAATTGACGAATTTATGTGGGCGTTCTTGGTGCTGACCAATTCTCGATTGCCTTTATTTTGGATGGGTCCACGTGAATTCCTTCTTCGCTAACCACGTGACCAAGGAAAGTCATATTCCTGATCCAAAACTCGCACTTTGAGAATTTCACATATAGCTTTTCCGTTCATAATGTCTCTAGAACTTATTGTTGGATTAATGTCTAAGTCCATAACTATAATTGGTAAGACGTGACCCGACCCGGCATGGTCCATTTGGGTTGCATACCATCATGCACTTGGATAGACTATAATGAGAGAAATAAGACACTTATGGTTATTAATATATTATAAGTTCTAGTATATTAATAATAAGAATAATAAGATTATTTAATTAGTATTGATCAAGAGTTAATCTAGGATTAATTAAGTGATCAAAAGAAGACTAATTAAATATATGGGTTGATTGTTTAAATCATCCATACTTATATAGTGGGCTAATGCTCCATGGATAATCAAGTTGGGCTAAAACCCATAGGATGGTCCATGGATGCTCCATGGTGTATTTGAACCCATGGATCCAAGGAAATGGAAAGCCATGACAATTAAGGATTTACCCTAATTGTAACACTATATAAAGATCTTATTCTTGACAAAAATCGGCCACTAGAATCACATTAGAAAGTGAAGAAAAGGGCTAGCCGATTTCATGAAGTGTAGAACTCTCTCAAGTTATTCTAAGTGTTTTGATGATTGTGATTCCATTTGAGGCTTCCACACTATTGGGGCTAGGCACTCAAGCTTCATGAAGACTTTCTACATCAAAGAGGTATGTATTCTATCTTGTTACACTCATTGTTTTGTATGCTAGATTAGGATAATACCTTGGATGTTCTTATTTGCATGTATAATAGAGAAAACATAGATCCAAGGTATTTAGGGTTGCATGTACACTTAGGAGTGTTAGAATGCTCAAAACCCAACAGTGGTATCAGAGCCTAGGCTTGTTTTCTTGTTATACCTGCAATAGAAGCTGAAAAATCGAGTTTTGTTGCTGTCACCCAGCAGACTCGCCGAGTCCATGAAGGGACTCGACGAGTCCAAGGCAAAAAGCATCCAACTCGCCGAGTTGGTTCATGCACTCGACGAGTTGGACCCCCAGACAGCATATTTTCGATTTTTGGCTAGAAATGGACTAGGAACATTACCCTAAGTTGTTTTTGAACTTATAAACTTGTTTTTAATGTGGTAATGTTCATGCTAATCCATTTTCAAAGATAATTGTCAATAGATTCATGTTTTGTATTAGTTTAAGGTTTAGACTAATTACATGAGAAAGTTTGATTTGAATTATCTTGTTCTTATGAGTTGCTTAGATTAATAGAAAAGTTAATTGAAATAGTTGTTTTCAATCCATTTTAATCTAAGAGTTGAGTATAAAATGTGTTTGTGTAACTTGTCCTCAAGTTACATGAAGAGTCACATTAAAGACTCATAAAACTCATAAAAGTTGGTAATGGTTACAAAATGAAGAGTCTTGTGTCATTGAATTTTTTTTTATGACTCCATAACTTGTCCTCAAGTTATGGAATTCAAGAGTCACTTCATTAATAAATAAATAAATAAATAAAGTGTAACCTTAATTAATTCCATAAGTTATAAAATAAAGAAAAGTTAATTCTTTTATTAGTTTAAAGTCTTCCATAAGTTATGGAACTTGAAGAGTTTTTTGGATTAAAACTACTTTAAACACATAAGTTATGGAATTAATTAGTTTTGAATAGTTTCAAAACTTGCCCTCAAGTTTTGGAATTTGAAAAGTTTTTCTTATGAATACTTTAATTCCAAGTTAGCCCTTAGAATTCTAAAGAGTTAAAATTCAACACTTATACTATTTATAACATTAATTATATATATATATATATATATATATATATATATATATA